AAATTTCGGTCGAGTATCTGCATATTTTCTTGGTGAGGCACCCTAATGTACTTACATATGTACATACGTATCGGTAAAAAAAAACCCGTAATTAACTTTCTGGCTATGTTCGTGACTAACAATATAAGGTATGGAAAATCGACTCAACAGCTGGCGCTGACGCAAAAAAATATTGTGGCAAAATATAACAGTATGTGATAAATTCTTATCTAAAGCTTTGACTTTAATGAACCGTTTCTGATGTTAATTTTAGTGGAACATTTTTTATCTGAGCAAACTTTGGTTCAGTATGCAATGAAAGGAATAAAAATTATTTATTATTTAAGTCGTCGAGTTATATCATCAAAATTCATATCTGAACAATCAGAGCTATACTTTTCTCGGTTATTTCTTCCGATTGAACTCTCCTTAAATTACCCTGTAGGGTCGCTAAAACAAACACAAAAAAACACCGAGACACGTAAACCTAATTTTGAGTTTGCATTTTAAATTTGCATTGCGAATGAACAAAAATTCGAACTTTAAAGCCCAGTATGCAGCTCTCAAGAAAAAAATTGCCATTATTTCGTGTGGGTGTCCAAGGAATTTTGACAACTGAAACTTCACCAGCCTGTAGCCTCTTTCCTCAAGAAATATTGGAACGGGCATATATTTCTGTTGCAAGCACGGATTGCCTTGTGCTCTTTTTCACAAAATACTTTAGAAAATCGTAGTAGAAAGTGTAGCAAATTTCTTAAGAACTGCGTACTGCCTCAAGAAAATTGTACACAAGAAAATTTCTTAGCAATTTCTTGTACGTCATTTTATATGGAGTTTTTGTTTTTCTTGAGAGCTGCCTGGCTGGCCTTAACATGGAAAATACATCGTACATGGCGTATGCGTAACATTTTTTCTGCTTTTACTATTTCATACAAAAAAATACTGCACATTTTCATTTGACCATGCAAAAGTTCTATCGATTTTCATCGTTAGTACAAAAAAAAACTAGAGAAACGGTATACAGATCCATAATCTATGACCCAAAATTAAGTTTACATGTCTCAGCTTTTTTTCTTGTTGTGTCTTTTCAAAACTTTAGATTTTCTCTACAGTGTTATAATGAAAATAATGCGAAATTATTTTTTTGTAATTTTTGACAATTTTCCTAAACTTGCGATCGGGAGATAAGTTCGCACTATACATTGTTGTTGCTTTTTTCAATTTTAAATGTATCACAACTACAATCGAGGGAAACGGTTTTGTTGCTTTAAGTAGTGGGTAGGCCATCACAAGAATTGGACCCCAGCTCTGAAGAAAAAATGTTCGTATTTTTATTTCTGCAAAAATAAAACTTTAGTAAATTAATTTAGTTTAGTACAGAGTACTTTCTGTACTTCTTAAAGTAGTAGCCAAGCTTTTCCATTAACTTCTAAACGTAAGCGCCAATTTTCTACTGTCTTCGAAAGCAGATGGGTTTTATCAAAGACTTGACTTTTCGTATTTCGCGAGGAAAGTAATTCTCACTTTGCAAAACGCTACGTTGTCATATTTAAATGCTATAAATTCTCCACAGCCATACAGTTTTTTTTTTTTCTTGCAAACAGATTAGGGTGGTCCACAAATGCATGAGAAAAAGTTAAGTCCGAATTTTTATGCTATCGCCCCCTAGGATTGTGCTATATCGAAAAAAATAATACCCATTGACATCAAAATTATTTAGGGGCGCCCAAAGCGCCAAAAATTTTCCATGTATTTTATATGGGGTAAAAACAAATTTTCGTAGAAATGGTATGGAATTCTTGAAAATCAATATTTTTCGATCAGACAACTCTGGTTCTCTTTAGGAGACTTCCAGTTTTAATATCCAATTGTTTATTTAATCATGTTTTCATAGTATATGTATATTTTTTATAGGTCCGCCGAAATCCCCAGAAAATGCTAGAAAATGCAATGAGGGATAAATAAAAATCTTTAGTATTAAAAAATGGTTAAATAAACAACTGGATATTGTTACTGGAAGTCTCTTGAAAAGGACCAGAGTTTTCCGATCGAAAAATTTAGATTTTCAAGAATTCCATACCGTTTCTACGAAAACTTTGAGCGCTTTGAGCTACCTCTAAATAGTTTTTCATTTCAAAATAAAATAAAAAATAGGGGTATATTTTTTTTGTTATAGAATAATCCTGGGACCATCCTAATACATGTACTTGTATATGAAAACAACGTTCACTTGACTCGCCTAAGCGCCCTTACAAATATGAACCGAATAAGGCCGACCATAAATTTGCATTCAATGACTTCCTTTTAACATTTTTTTTTCACCATGAAAAATCAACATGCAATCTTGGAATATTTTTAAACGTATGTATGCACATGTGAGCATATGGAAATTTTCAGGCTACTAAAACGTGTGGAAAACGCGTCACTTCATTGTGGCAATTTAATCTGCAACTTCATAGCGGCTGTTGGAATGGAAGATTATTTTACTACTTCCTTTAACTACACATACATATATGTACATACATAGTATATGTTTGTATGTTTGTACTACATACATATGTATGCTTACATACAAATGTACCTTATCCCTTCTTGCGCCTAACCAATTTCAAGCCCCACGGCAAATGATTATTGGAAACTTTTGAAACAAATGAAGTTGGTATGAATTCAGTAGCATTGTTTGCTTTTAGCCCTTAGCCTTTCATTATTTTTTTCGGGTGCTTTGTTTTTTCATTCCCTCTTTTTTAGTTTAATGCATTGCAGCAGTGATGTTCATTCAATAAGATGTCTGATAAATTTATATTGACGCAATTCCTTTTTTGCTGATCCTTCGTGTTGGAAATGACACAATGTTTTCACTTTCATCCGAGCTATTGAGCTGTGATACACATACATGCATACCGGTGCATGTGTGGGTGTGTCGATAGTTTGCATTTCTTGTGTCTCGCTTTGAATATGATTGTGTTTGATCTAACCTTTTTTTGGTTTTTTTTTTTGCCATTCGCATAACTTCATGTGCACATTTCTTTAATCTAAAATTGATATCAATTGACAGGCATTTGGCTAACTTTGTGAGAAATGAGGAGAGTAAACAGGGATTTCCGAATAATTGATTTATTCAATCTGCTACTACTCGTATCTATGTAGAATGAATTGTTCCAAAACAAAGAGAATCCATCCATTGAAAATACAAATCTCTCTTCCAACTGTTAGATTTTGTCATTTTGTACTTAAATATTGGAGTTTTCGAAATCTCACACAACATTTCGTGGCCTTTTTAAATAGCTTGCAATTATTTTTAACCGCTTCAGCTTTAAAGTATCATAGAATTGCGAGGAAATTGAAATGCATTGAAATTTGTTTTCCGCTGCGCTTTGCGCTCACACAATCATGCCTGCTGTGCCTGCTTTGCAAGCTCATTCTGCACATTCCAATGCATTGGCTCACAGGCGAAACCGCAACTTGTAAAATTACGCATTTTCATTTAAATTCGTCGTTCCACGGCTGTCATGTCATCCGCAGTTGTCAACTGGCAAATGCACCAAATGCCATAGTGGAATGCCATTATTACAATACCCGATTCACCTAGTGTGGTTTTAATGTTTAATTGTCATTCGTAAGTATGTAAGGATGATGCTTATCTATGTATGTACATATGTATAGGTATACATTTGTAGCTTCATAAGTGTTTTCGTGTAGGTTTGTTTGTAATTAAAGCAATTGCCCTGGTGCTAGGCATGACAATGAGAAAACGATTAATCGATCGCCGATAAATCGAAAGCAAGGAACAAGATTCGTTAAGAACTTTTTAGAATAAAAATCGATTTAACTATTTCTTTTTTTTTATTGAAAATGTGAAGGGCAAAAGTTAAGCCTTTTTTGAACTTTCTTTAACTGCATTTGATTTTAAGAGCATGGGGCATGGGCTACCTTCTTGGTTAATATTAATAATATAAAGATTAAAGGGACATTTTTTTATTTATTTGTTTACTGCCAGATTTGGCTGATTATAGATTGCAACTGTTAGTTTTCCATACTTTTAGGTCCCCTTGCTTTTAATTTAAAGATTTTTGACGACGAAAATTTAGGGTAGGGGATTGTCGATCACGAATGCCACTATTCGGGCCCAGTACTGTCCTTACTTGATATTAGGTGTGTATAGTAACAAATAGTCAGTACTGATTTGTATTGGACCTGCAAATTTTTACAGGAAATGTTTGTAATAAGACAAAAAATTTGCAAGAGCGCACTGAATCGAGAGCGTAATAACAAGGGAGTGCTGCAAATTCTTGCTAACGAAATTTTTACTAGCAGAAATGAGCTAGCAGAAGAAGTACAATTAATAAATGTTAAATGCACACCTATTATTTCTTTTAGGTGTATGATTAAGTAAATGGCGATAAATATTAATCACTCTGTACGATTTACTCATGCCATCCCTACCTTGGGTATGTACTATGTATGCACATATACACTGAGAGAAAAATCAACCAAAAATTGGTTAATATTACCAAATTCAAGCTAGAAAAGGAATCAGCGTAATTTTTGGTTAATATTAACAATGCCGTGGTTGATATTTTCAATAATGATGGGGGGTTTGTTTACATTAACCAAAAATTCGGTTGGCGATTTTTTCGATTGAACACGCTTATGTGCTGCACTTCACAGATGCTTTTTTAACAATTCGGAGATACAAAACAAAAATATGTATTATCATTTAACATGTTTCATCTGACGGCATTAGCAAAAAACAGCAAGCATCACGACACAATCAGCTACAGCCTCTTTATAAATGAGTCTTCAAATGTTCAGCTTGAATCAATTTTTGTCGTCGCTTGATTCGGTTCTACACAACTTAACTTAGTGGAAAAAACCCATTGTGTTTTTGGCTCAGTGTACCTACATATATGTAAGTATGATTTAATTCGAAAAGGCAGCCACGTTGTTTATTGAAAATTTTCACAATTATAAAATACATGTTGACTTTTAAGTAAATATTTTTTATTCATTACTTTTTGTGCACAGCTGCTGATGGCTTTAATGGCGAAATAAAAGTGTTAATTACAACAACATAATTATATTCGGTGCCGAAACAGGCGCGTTGCTCATTATAAAAAAAAAAACAAATTTAACCATAGCAACTTGTAGTCAATCTACTTCTGGAGTGTGAAACAATTAATCATTTTGATAAGTCGGTTTGAAAATGTTTAAGTTCTTGAAATTAATTATGTGCATTTCCCTATTGACATATACTTATCTGTAAAGAGATTTAATCATCGTTATTGACATATACATACATACATATTTACTTACATGTAAATATGTAGTTATGTATGTATTTCAAAAATTGCAGCCAATTACTCATTAAAATTAAGTAAAAAATATAGCTTATAAAAAATAAAGAGATCGTGTCTATGAAACGCTCCTAGACAAACTGCGATGGCAGAGAGCGAACCAATTTCTAGCAACTGATTAAGTTCATAAGTGTGTTAAGGAACCATAGGTAAAGACTTTATTAAAATTTATTTTAATCAAATTTTCTTCACTTCAGCTTTCAACTCACGTCAACTGACGTCAGTTTCAACAACGTCAAATAGAAAAATCACACAAATTTCAAATATTTTCAACAATTTAAAACAAAAAGCCTTTTACTTATCGATCTCCCAAAAGACTTTCCACCCAGATCGTAAAAATGCAATCACGACAACAACAACAACAGCTTTTCTGGCGCTTTGCAAACCAATTTCGTGTGCGCCGCCACACTCACAGAGATCAGGTGATGGAACGCATAGGTAAGCGTGAAATAGTCGGTTATGGTTGGAATGGTTCACCCTGTTATGCTGATCGTTTGGACTACCCGATGCCAGCGGTGCGCTTTCGTGAGCCTGACGCTGAAATGTGTGCGCTCCGCGAAAAGGAAACTGGCGATTGGCGTAAGCTAACCACCGATGAGAAGAAACAGCTCTATCGTTATAGCTTCTGTAAGACATTTGCCGAAATGAAAGCACCCAGCTCCGATTGGAAATTTTGTGTAGGTGTCGCTTTAATCGTTTGCTCACTGGGTGTATGGCTATCACTATCATATTTTCATGGCGTATACCCTGAATATCCAGTAACTTTCGATGAGAAGCGTCGTAGTGCACAACTTAAACGTATGATAGCACTGGAAGTGAATCCGGTTACTGGACTGGCGTCTAAGTGGGATTACGAAAAAGAACGTTGGAAGTAGGCAGTGTTGAATGCAAAATCAACAAACACAAAACCATTGAAGCATTTTTTTTTGTCTGCAAATGTTACAAGATAGTAGAAATAGTAATAAAGAGATCTTGTTTGCTCTCTGAAAACAATGCCACGTATCATACGGTGGTCACGGCAAGTTCGAGTGTATGTTGAAATAACGCGGGCTTCTCGCGGCAGCTAAGGCTCTTCCTCTGAAGTAAGTGGTAAGTGAACCCTGTTGACAGCATTCATGGGCGAGACGGTTTAACAAAATATCGCGGCCAAATGTCTCATCCTACCTAATTCTTCCAAAGACGGGGCAGGATTTTGTGCCGCAGTCCAACAAGTTTACTGCATTCCTGTCTGTTTAGTGAGAGCAAAAAACTAGAGAGACCTTCTGAGATTGAAGGAAACATCAGCTTTGCTCACCTGCAGCCCCTCGATGCCTCCCAGTCATTGCTGGGCGAGGTATTCACCCAGTTTCTGATGGTGGCTTCGGTGGCCGAAGGTGGGAGTGCTATAACTGGTTGCGGACAGAGGAATAACTGGTCCGAGCCAGTTCTGGCCAAGTGGTCAGATTTCTCATTGCCAGGTACTCCCGAATGACCTGGCATCTGAAGTAAAGCAAGATCGTTATGATTGGCAACATAATTTAGTTGAGACTTGCATTGCCGAACAAGTTTGGAAGTAGGTAAAGGGCTGGCCAATGTCTTTAATTCAGTTTGGCTGTCACTGCATAAACTTAAACTCTCCACCTATTTTCCATCACGTACTCCATGTCCTTGAGGATTGCAAATACCTCAACCTGGAAGACCGAAGCATACTCCCAAGCGTATCCCTATTAACTTCGATGAAGACCCCAGATCCTGACCCAGACTCAGTTTTGGAGCCATCATGGAAGATTAGATAAGATGTCAGTGCTCAGTGCTGGTATTAAACCAACATTCTGCCTCAGGGAATTTAACATTTAAGAATCTCTTCAACAAAGGTAATGGTGGCGTACTATCCTGTGGCATTGAGAAGACACAAGTGCTCAGATGTCTGCCGTCAGCAATTTCCGCCTCACCCCACTCAGTGTTATACCAACATCCGTTTATGTTTAGTCGTTTGTGCCACGTGGGATCTCCACGATAGTTTTGTATCAATAGTTACTCCCAGATATTTCACTTGTATTCAGTATTGTTTGCGCTTTCCAGCTAACAGCCGGCAGAGATGGGCCCGTGACTAGACAGGCCACCACATCGTCCGCATAGCCTTGGGCGTAGATATCACAGCCATTAAGAGTGACAAGAAGAGAATCAATTGTCAGACATCAGAGCAAAGGAGAAAGCACACCACCCGCAAGGCAGAACTTGTTAACTCAGCACGTGACATATTGACCTCCTTCTGTCTAAATCCCGCTGTGCCAGCATTGAACGAATCCAATTTACCAGTACTGAATCTACCACATGCCGTAGATCATAATTACACAAGCTATCGAAGGTGGCATTGGCAAAAGCACTAGAGCTGGAAAAATATCGATGGAACTATCGATAGTGTCGATTGCTTTTGGCTATCGAAAACATCGATGGTTTTGTAAGTTCAGAGCGCATATGCTGCTTGAAGCCAAAAATATTCGGTTGATAAACTTTTGTTCCTTAACAAAAATATGGACATATTTTAGCAATTTTCAATAAAAGTTGTTGTGTTTAATTTTCCCTATATAATAAAGGCTATTTACAGCCGTAAAGCCAATATCGAATTGTGTGTTTCTTTGAAGGTTTTTTTAAATGAAGATTTTTTTCGATGAAAAAAATATTTTTAGCTTTAACATATTATTTTGAAGATTTCTTTAGGGGACCTTCTCCAGCTACACTATGCATAGTCGAAAACGGTGTCACATCCGCGGGAACTCACAACTTAATGTGATATCTTTCCGTTTGCTTTCGAGTATAGACCAACAATTTCTGGTTAGAAGTCTGAGGGAAATAATAAAAATCAAACATAAGCGAGGAGGGAGCCCTTTTTGTTTTTCCTTAAGCTGGGATCACACGATTTGTACATTTGGCTAAAAATTTGTC